ATACTAACTTGAAAATTCAAGATACTAACACATGCTAACTCGAAAATTAAAAAAAAAAAAAATGAATGGCACTAATACGCTTCCGTATGATTTTAAGCATGCTTGGATTCCATTTTAGAAATTTTTAAGTTGAATTTATTCATAACTTTTTCTTGATAGTTAGAATGATAGATCCTAATTTAACTAACAGGTGTTTTACAACTATGTCATACTATCTTGATTATTTAAATGTGTTGATATTAAAACCAATGAACACTATTGAACACATTTTTATAATGTCCCTGAACACTATTGAACATATAGGGTCCCTGAACACTATATTGAACACTGTATTTACAGGAATGAAAAGAAGTTTTGATGATGATCTAGGTTATGGTTTCATGCATGAAAATAGAATGGATCGAGGTGGACGTGAGTTTATTTTTTTTCATTCAATGATTCTTGTGGAGTGAATAATTTGAAATTTGCCATTATTGGCATTGTTTTGCTGATGTCTATTGGGTCTAACAGTTATTCTTTTGTAAGCAATAATTTAGGTTAATGAAGTTTCCCTAATTGAACACTGCATGTCTGTCTCCATTAGTCCAGTTAAGACCTTATTTGCACGTCAGCCATATTGAATCCAGACCGAGGCTATGATGCAAACAATGAGGTTATCACTTTGTGGAAGTTGATCGTGTGTTCAGTGACGTCACATAGGTTATTTCTGAATATTATGATGTCACATGCCTTATGAACCTCGCTCAAAAACCAGGCGTGAATAAGGTAGAAGCAAAGGCCTAGGTCACAAGTAGTCTTGCGTTATCAACCTTTTCTCTCTTTGTTTCAGCGCCACCTATAGGTGATATGATGGACATGATGGGAAATTACCCCAACCCCTCAAGTCAGACACGGCTTCAGATTGTAGCTTCACCTGGTCTATCTAACGCCTATCTTGCTAGACTGGCTAACCTGGTACCAGGATTAGAATATTGTGACTTGAACGAACAGACTGGTAGGTAATCTGACCTTAAAGGGATTGTAAATAGGTTTTTTTATAGGAATCACAGAACCCATTGGTTTTTCATTTTGCTTGTGGGTAACTACTGAAAGTGTAGTGGCGTTAAGTTAGTGGTCTGAGAAGTTGGTGAATGGAATCCCAAATAGTTTACTAAAATTGTTGGTTACTATTATGACAATAGACATTAACCACTCCTATCAACTACATAAACAAAGCTATGAATTTTTATATATATATTGAAACGATTAAAGTTAACAAGTATCGCATCGTGTATCGTGACTGTTGTATTGTGATACATATCATATTGTGACCCGTGTATTGTGATACATATCATATTGTGACCCTTGTATTGTGATACATATCATATTGTGACCCTTGTATTGTGATACATATCATATCCTGCCATGATTGGCGATACCCAGCTTTAGTCCAAAATACCGTTGGCAACTAATGTTTATAAGCGCAGACCTGGCTTAAAAATTTCTTCCTCTTTGTTAAACAGTATCCACATTATTTTCTCTGACAGGAATGGCGTACGTACGATATACTAGTCCACAATGTGCTGCCTACGCTAGAGATAAGCTGGATGGATTTGAATATCCAATAGGATCTAGATTAATGGTGAGGTATCCAGAGGAAGGCACAGAAGCTCGAGGATACGGATCCAAAAGGTATGTTTGTCTCCAGGTGGAGTGGTAGCCTTAAAAATTATGAACTTGTCAGTAGGTGTATTTCAAATTTATCAGAAAAATGATTTGAAATTTGAATGGATAGCAGAAAGAAAGAGATCTTAACATCGTCTCTCAAAAAACATTATCAGGAGTTGAGAATATCAAACTTATAGCAAACATTTTAACAACCTCTTAGGATGACCAACAAGTTGAAATTTTTAAACTAGGTTAAAATGAGTTTTCGTTCATCAGTGAACTTACCTGGTGTCATAACTATACAACAGAATCTCTCTATAATCTAATAAATCTATAAAACTAAGTAATTATTCATTAAACTAAGTAATTTTAAAACATGCTTAGAAGAGTTTTTCAATAATTATTTAGTTTAATAGATATATGGT